GATCCTCCTGCCTAAGCCTTCCAAGAGCTGAGATTACAGGCGTGCACCACCATACCCAGCACCTAAGTTTCTTTTATCTTCTCAAATAATACTTCTCTTAAAGCCAAGTTTTCAATAACTGAAAACATGCAAAATCTGTTTACCAAAGCATATGTGCTGGCATTTTAGCTCCTCTCTGAGAAACTTCATAATGAAAAGCAGACAAGGCCGGGGAATGTAGCCCAGTGGTAGAGCAGTCCCCTAGCAGATCTGAGGTCCTGGGTTCCAGCCCCAGTCGAGCTAATATTTTAAATAGAATCAAACATTTTCTAAGGAGGTACTTGGTTTTCTAGCAGATATGTCTTGTTTAGTTCATTTTTTAATGATACACTTTAAAAACTTGGCAATAAAGGGACCGAGGATGTAGCTCAGCGGCACCACCGCTGCCTGGCAAGCACAAGGTCCTGAGTTCATTCCCCGGTACTGGATAAAAAACAATTACGCAAAAAATTAACAATAAGGTATGTGACAGAAAGAGGTAAATTAAGAAAGGTTTCCTCTGCTTGTTAAGGCAGAGCTTGGGCAAGCTTTCTCCCAACGTATTCACTACTCTGATGCCTCCTTAGAAATGAGTCAGTGACTATGAATGTTTGGGTTAGGCACACAAACCGGAAGTGGTCTCCATGTGCACAAGGCAGTGAATACAATATTGGGAAAAAGAGCCAGGTGGCTTCCGTTTGAGGCTCTTCACCTCTTACTGACTGCGGAGGTCACACGGAAGCTTGGGTTTCTTAGTCTGTAAGGTGATCACTGAACTATCTTTGCCATGAGGTTATTAAGAAGAACAAAAAAAAATCATCAAAAGTTTACATTTTATTACCTCGAAGCAATAGATAAATTTAGGGTGCTATTAGTATGAATGCTATACTCACACCCCATCCAGACTAATACTGTCTCTAAAAGGAACATCCCAGGATCGTTTGGGGAGGTAAAAATCCCTTCCTTTTAAAATTAAAAAAAAAAATTTTTGAAACAAGGTCTTGCTATGTAGTCCAAGCTGACCTCAAACTCAAGGCAATCCTCCTGCCTCAGCCTCCTGAGTGCTAGGACAACAGGCGTGTACCACCACGCCCAGCAAAAAAATCCCTTCCTTTGTGGCAGCCTTCAATTACTTTTTAAAAATCCAAACATACTAGTTTCCTTAACATCTGTTACACAGAAAAGAAAGAACATGTTACCGTGACAACATTTTCAATATTTTCTCCCTTTATCCATAATCACTGATAACAGTATTAACATTTTAGAGAGAATTAAACATTTCTGAAGGGGGAGTTGGTTTTCTAGCAAATATGTACTGTTTAGTGCATTTTTTATGGTACACTAAATAACTGCCTCCCAGATTCTTATTCTTTTTTTTTTTTGGTACCGGGGATCGAACTTGAGACCTTGTGCTTGTGAGGCAGGCAGCGACACCACTGAGCTAGATCCTGGGCCCTGGATTCTTACTCTTAAAAGGTTGCCAAACATACACACACATACACACACACACACACACACACACACACACACACACACACTCTGTCACACTGTGCCTATGTCCTGTGCTGAATCTGGAAGGAATTGTTAGGAATTTGCTAGCTCTCGCTATGTAGTCCAGGCTGGCCTCAAACTCTCTGTGATCCTCCTGCCTCAGCTTCCCCAGTGCTGGGATTCCAATCATGTGCCACCACACCCGGCTCAAATCTCCCTTTTGATGACACACACCCCCAGTGTCGCCCCCCCCCCCTCAGGTCACCTGCACTTGCTGCCCCAAGCTCTGCCGAGTTCTCAGGGTGCCCTCTCGGCTTCTGCAAGCACCCAAAGCCCGACCCTCCTGGCCCAGCTAAGTTCTCTCATCCGCTGTTCATTTCCCATCTCCGTGCCCTGTGGTTTGGAGCCGCTTCCAGTTCAGTAAGTTGCAATGTGTGTTTCTGAAGGGTTGTGGGTTTTTTTGGTACCAGAAATCGAACTCGGGACCTTGAGCTTGCAGGCAGGCTGTGGAACCACTGAGCTAAATCCCCGGCCCTGAAGGATTTTTTTCTCTCATAATTTTTGGGTGATTTTTGAGAGTGCCAGGCAATTTTTGAGGGGGAAGTCTTGAATAGGAAGGACTTCGTGTTTTTATTTTTAGTTCTTCGAATGCCTTGAATCCTTTCCTGCCTTCCAGCTTCGCACTTGGCTCCAGCTCTTTTTGGGGGTGGGGTGAGACCGGGTCTCCCTTTGTGGTCCAGGCTGGCCCTGAACTCACTGTGTAGCCCAGGCTGGCCTCGAACTGGCAGCAATCCTCCTGCCTCAGCCTCTGGAGTGTTGGGATCACAGGCGTGTACCACCAGAGCTTCCAGCTCTGTTTTTGTTGTTGTTTCTGTTTGGTTTGGTTTTTGGAGACAGGGTCTCACTATGCAGTTCAGGCTGCCCTTGAACTCACTGTGTAGCCCAGGTGGGCTTTGAACTTGTAGTGATCCTCCTGCCTCAGCCTCCCGAATGCTGGGATCACAGGCCGGCACCACCACGCCCAGCTGCTTTTTCAAATATTACTTGTTTCTCTATCAATATTCTCTCCACTGAAATGCAGCTCATCCTAATTGAGATGTCCTTACGTTAAGTGCAAAATACATACTAGGTAGCCAAGACTTACGCTAATAAGAATGTAAAATATTTCATTAATAATTTTTATATTGATTATGTGTTGAAATCTGCCTTTATTTTGGGATATAGTGGGTTAAAATATGTCATTAAAATTAATTCCATTTGTTTCTTGTAACTTTTTTAATGTAGCTACTTGAAAACTTTTAAAATTTCAGACATGAGTCACTTACTGGCCGTATAAGGCTGCTCTCTGACCTTCGTGGCCGCTCATAATCTTTTCCATTCCTTCCCCTTCTAGTTACAGCTTAGGCTTAGAAAGCAGAGTAGAAATGTGACAGCTACTCGAGGCTGAAGCGGGAGGATCGAAAGTTCAAGGCCAACCTGGGCAACTTAGTAAGACCCCAATCTCAAATGTTTTAAAAGAGGGAAAGGGGTGCTTGGGATGTAACTCCTGGGTCAGTGTTCTTTTGTTGTTGTTGTTTTGGTTTTGGTTTTGGTACCGGGGATCGAACTCAGGTCCTTGCGCTTGCACAGCAGGCAGGGAAACCACTGAGCTAAATCCCTGGCCCTGGGTCAGTGTTTACTAGAGAAACAGACATAACACAAGATAGATATTCCACTAAATGTGAATGTACAAGACTGGCTTAACTATGGCCACCCATGGAGTCGGATGAGGAGGAGGACAGAGGGTCCAGTCGCAGGCCTGGAGCTCACTGCAGTGTCCCCTTCGAGTCCATCTCAGGAGGCTGATGGGTCTGCTCGGGAAGCCAGGAGATGCCGTCCAAGGTGAAGGCGAAGGCTGGAGCTCCTCTGAAGAACAAAGGCGATCCCTCCTTCTTTGTTTCTCCTTTATACCATCCGGGTACAAACTTCTCAAGTTGACACAGTCACTTAACCTTCACAGGAGGTTCAATCCCAATACCTTTTCCCCCCAAAAAGTTGAACTCTGCTCAATATTGTTATTTTGTTTTGCAGAGCTGGGAATCGAACCCAGGGCTTCACGCAGGCAGGGCAAGTGCTGTACTACTGAGACACGTCCCTAGCCATGTGGCCAGGCTTTAAATCAAGAGAATTAAACGGCCAGGAAGATAATGAAAGTCTGACTTCAATTTTTCATCTCATTGGATTGATGTTAGGGGGATTGGGCTGGTAGAAGACAACCTTCATTAGTACAGTGGACCCTTGACTTACAAACTCAATTCTTTCCTGAGGGCTGGTTGTAACTCAAGTTGGTCAGCTGAAGGCTCGGGCTCCTCTACACAGCCTTTAAAGTCTCTCTGCTGTGTACAGGCAGATCTCAGTGTCCTTAGAGAGACATTGGCCCAGGATTTCTCTTTTTTTTTTTTTCTGGTACTGGGGATCGAACACGGGACCTTGCGCTTGCAAGACAGGCATGATGCCACTGAGCTAAATCCCCGGCTAGCCCAGGATTTCTCAACCCCACACAGGAAAGGATGCTGTCATGTTCCTCCCAGAACTCTTTAAGAGTTAAATCTGTGTCTGAGACCATCTGGAAGCACAAGCAGCCGGCATTCATGTCGTAACTCAAGACTTTGGTTGTAAGTTAAAACTAGAATTCCAGTTGTAACCCAAGTTGTTCATATGTCAGGCTGGTTGTAACTTGAGGGTCCACTTATCTGTAAATATAAGAATGTTCTGGGTGTAAAACACATGTGAGGATGTAGAACAAATGTCTTATATTTCACTCCTCCTGGTTTTGATCTATTTTTCTTTCGGCTATACAAACCTCCCCCCACCTTCTCGTATTGGGATTGAACCCAGAGCCTTCACACCAAGGTATATTTTTTATATTTTACTTTGAGACGAGGTCTTACTAAGTTCCCCAGGCTGGGCTTGACATTATGATCCTCCTGCTTCTGCCTCCCAGAGCGCTGAAATCTCAGGCGAGCACCACAGTGCCCAGATCTTTGCTTTTTCTATGTGTTCCAATGTACACTCCTCCCCTGGTGGAATATGACTGTTGAAGAGATGAAGAAAAACTAAGTGGGGAGGAAAATGTAGGGTGGGCAGCAAATCTGATGACCAAGAAACCCAGAAAAATGTGAACTTGAAAGGACCTTGGAGATCACCCTGTTCCACACCCAAACCCATAACCCATTTATTTGTGGAATAAAAGCAGTTGAAGGAGGGGTGGGAGTGGTGGCATACTCCCATAATCTTAGCACTCAGGAGGCTGAGGCAGGAGGATCACCACCAGGTCAAGGCCAGCCTAGGCTGCATAGTGAGTTCAAGGCCCACCTGGACTACATAGTGAGATGCAAAAAAAATTAATAAAAATACATGCAGATGAAGGATCACTATTCATCTAACATCCAAATATTTACTAAAATATCAGGAACATTCTCTGAAAATACATTTTCCAACAGGGAAAAAACATGAAGAAGCAAAAGCAGCATGGGATTGTTTATGATCCTAAACAAGTTGTGATTCCATCTCTCAATGTAGCAAGTTGTTGCCACTTGCTGAAGGCAAAGTACAGACCTCAGAAGGCATACAAGACTGGACTTGTCTGCCCCCAGCCGATTTCAGCCATGACCGGGAGCCCAGGTAAGATATTAGCATCAAACGAGGATAAGTATGCCACGTAGCAAGAATTTTTCTTGATACTGAAGACATAAAACCGGCAGTTAAATATATGGCTTAAAAATTAACAGTGGGAGATCTATTAATCCAAGTTCTTAGCTTATGAAAATCCAAAGCTGATTTGACCTCGTGGCCCTAACTGTTTTACTTTCTTTTTGGTACTTTGGATCGAACTCGGGACCTGGCACTTTCAAGGCAGGCGCCAGAACCACTGAGCTAAATCCCTGGCTGTCTTACTTTTATTAGCTCTGAGTCACTGATGCAACACTAATTATAATCAAATTGACTAAAATGGGTCACATTTATCTTTTCATTGAAAAAAACATTTTTTTTGTTTTGAGACAGAGTCTCACTAAGTAGCCCAGCCTGGCCTGGAGCTCATAGTGATCCTCCTGCCTCAGCCTCCAGAGTGCTGGGAGTACAGGCACGCGTCACGATGCCTGGCTTTCCATAAGAGTTTGTCTTTTTTTTTTTCCTTCGGTACCAGAGATCGAACTCAGGACCTTGCACTTTTGAGGCAGGCAAGGTGCCACTGAGCTAGATCCTTGGCCCCACGAGAGTTTGTCTTTAAACTTGACCTGGCAATTTCTGTATTATTCAGGGAGGGAACATTCACTTTCAATTCCTTCTTGATTTTGCCAACATAGGAGAGAACAGGGAGGAAAGTTAGATTTGCAAATTTGATTTGCAAAAACACGATTCCTCCATGTCCCAAATGTTGTCAAATTAAAGTCTTACCAAATTAAAGCTGTATGTTTTGTAGAGGTTAAAAAGAGTGTTGGAATTAAATGTATGGGATTTAGACCTTTATATTAAGCAATCCTCCCGCCTCAGCCTCCCGAGTGCTGGGATCTCCAGTCTTCAGTGAGATTCTCTACCGAAAGCTGTGTACATGGATGCGCGCAGCTGTTGCTCTTGTAGTTTGGGACAAGCTGGCTACAAGACAGCGGGAGAGGCAGGGCCGTCTAGGGGAGACTCCCAGAGCGATCTGCCTGTTCCTCCCGGCTCTGGCATTGGAACCAGGGTCTGTGGAGTGCCCTGTGGTGCCCAGGACCACGTGGGTCCTGGCGTTTCGAGATAGAGATGACCCAAGCTCAGGCCTGTAGGGCTCCCGAGTGGTGGCTGAGACTGGGAGGGCAAGCGCCCTCCCGTGCTGTCGCTCCCTCCTCTGCCCCTCTGCCTGCCTAACTGCCCTGGGTGTATTTCATTTTTCCAGGGCAGAAACCAGATTTTGTATTTCCCCTCTAGTAAATGGCCCATCGATATGCTTTCCGTCGGCTTCTGGTGCAGGCTGGCCTGGCCCTGAGCTGTTTGGAGAAGCGAAGTTTGCTTCCTGCTTAATCCCTCTTTCTCCTCGCCCTCCTGGCGCCTCGTCTCAGGCGAGCTCTCAGCCCTTGCTGCAGCTCACTTTTTCTAAGGAGTCTAATAACCCTTGCAGGAGTTAACTCAATATTAGGGTGTTGTTTCAAAATGGCATGCGATGAGAGGCTCGTGAATGTGCATTTGTTTCCAGATCCTTGTTTTCTTTTGAGGCAGGTGTGCGCCACCGCACCTGGCCTATGTTTGAAAACAATAGAAAAAGGAAATAACAAGGGGTAGGGTTGAAGTTTTGATGAAAAGTTCACCTGTCTCTCCTGCTGGGTAAGCCACCTTTTCAGGGCCTTACCCTGGGCAGAAGTGAATTCATTAACACACAGAGCCCCTGGCCCCTGCCTGGGCTGTCTGTCTTCACATTTTTTTTTTTTTTTTTTTTTGGTACTGGGGATTGAACTCAGGTCCTTGTGCTTCCAAGGCAGGCAGTGGAACCACTGAGCTAAATCCCTAGCCATGTCTTCACATTTTATGAAAATGAAACAGACTCTAGGCAAAACTTGCTTTATTTAGAAAGCCGTACCTGTATCGACTTTAGCCCAAATTGATTCCCTTCTCCTCTGTATTCCCAAAGGAACTTGGGAACTGTATCATCTCCAACCCACGGGTTGTAAGCAACCACCCAGCAAGTAGTTTATACAGTGTTGCTTAGAAACACTCAGTGGGCCGGGGTGTGGTGACTGTCATCCCAGTACTCTTGCAGGCTGAAGCAGGAGGGTCGCAAGTTCAAGGCCAGCCTGGGCAACTTAGTGACTTAGCAAGGTCTTACCTCAAAAATAAATAAATAAATAAATAAACAAACAAATAAATAAATAAATAGGGCTGGGATTGTAGCTCAGTGTGAAGGCCCAGTACCACACACACACACACACATACACAAGAAAAGAGAAAAAAAAAGCAAAACAAAAAACTCCACGATCACTGGAAGCAAATAAGATTTGGAGGCCTCAGTCAAGGAGAGTGGGCAGAAATACTAAATGGAAAAAAAAATAAATTTCAAAACACTAAAACTCCAGTCCTGCGTGTCCCATGCCACAGCTGCCAGCCACATTAAGTTATCCAGCACTTGAAATGTGGTAATTGAAGAAGCGAATAGTAAGTTTTACTTAATTTTGCCAGGCATGGTGGCGCACCGCTGTAATCCCAGCACTCGGGAGGCTGAGGCAGGCGGATCACTGAGTTCAAGGGCAACCTAGGCTACATAGTGAGTTCAGGGCCAACCTGAACTACAAAGGGAGAGACCCTGCCTCAAAAAAAAAAAAGTTTTACTTAATTTTAATTTAATCCCAATTGATTTACTTTTCAGCAGCTTTTAAGGGCGTTTGAAATAACTTAAACATGTGCATCTGCTTTTCTGTCAACTCCATGACCTCTAAATACAGTTCTAGGTTTTCCAGTGAGAAGTTAACACTTGAATTGAAATGTACTAGAAGTATGAAAATAAACACTGGATTTCAAAGACTTGTGTATAATGAAAAGGATGTAGAGTATATTACTAATAATTTTGTGTTGATTATACGTTGTAATGATAATATTTTGGATATATTTGCCTAAGTAAAATATATTACTAAAATGTAATTACACCTGATTTTCCTACATAAAATTTAAAATTGTATATGTGGGGGTGCAGCTCAATGAAGAGTGTTTACTGAGCATATGTGCTGTTCCTCTTGTTCCTTCTCCTCCTCCTTGCTCTTTTCCAGTGCTTGGCTTGAACCTGGGCCTTGGGTGTGCTCACAGATAGTCAAGTTATGGCTTTTGACTCTGAGCTTTTTTTTCTTGGTACCGGGGATCGAACTCGCGTCCTTGTGCTTGTGCAGCAGGTGGTGAAACCACTGAGCTAAATCCCCGACCCAAGTTATGGCATTTGAATTCTTTTCTATCAATGCAGACCACAGTCCGGTTTTTCAACCCAAGGAGAATGGCGTTGGCCAGAATCATCACCAGGAGGAGATAGTCCGGAAGTTGGCCATGCAGCTGAGACGCATCGGGGATGGCATCCACCGCAGGACAGTTCAGGTGAGACCCGGTTAACAGAGCAAGGCCCCACCACGTCGGACAAAGAGCGAACTGGACCATGGCTGCCCGTGCCCGGGATGCCCAGGAAGGGCCGGCACTGTGCACGAGTAGTGTGTGGATCCGAAAGCGCCAGACCTGCACCTCCGACAGGGGAGACCTGGCCCTTCATGCGCCCCCACTCTGTGTGCGTGGGGTGTGAGGAGCTGCTCCGCACCCTCGGAGTAGGATGAGGGTTCGGAGCACCTGGGCAGTTTAAGGAATTACAGCTCACTGGGCCCAACACTGAGAAATTCGGAGTTCATTGGCATGGGGTGAGGCCTGTGTGTCCAGCATTGTAAAAGCTTCCCGATGCGCTTGCTGCCTGGGTGGGAGGAGAACCTGGGCCTTAGCTTGGGGCTGCCCTCGAACCAGTCAGAAGGTTTTGATGTGAGTCCTATCAATTGCTTAGTTTCTCCGGACTGTGATGAGCAATAGCAAGGGGCACCAGGAGAGCCTGATGATCGCTGCTGGGAATCTCGGGGTGATGGACTCGCAGCTCAGTTTTCCTCCGGCACAGCCTGTAGTGGGGCTGCGGTGGGAGGCTGGCTGCCTCGCTCCCTCCTGGAGCTCTGATGATTCCTGTGCATCACTGCCGCTCCCGCCACGGCCACCGGGCTGTCTCCAGGGGGTGCCGGGTCCCCTTTTCTCTGCTGGTCCAAATGTGGACGGCACACAGCCCTTCCTTCAAATCAAACATCCCTAAGACAAAGCATAAATGAGAGGTCCCAACACGGATGCTGTAGACAAGAAGGAAACAAAGAAAAGAAACACAGATGATCAAATGACATGTGAGATAAACGGGTTTCATTTGAATGAGTGTTTATTGAGTGCATACTGTGTGCCAGGCCCAGTAGCTTGAGCAGTGAGCAGGACAGAAGATGAGTCAGTGCTCCTTAAACTCAGAATGTAGGGCGAGCAGATGATGAGGCAGGTGAACAGGAAACAGTAGGGTCAGGCGGGGAGGTGGGCTCCGAGCAGGAAGAGGGGTACTGAGTGAAGTAGAGCCTACAGGACCAGCCGATGGCTGGGATGTGGGCAGGGAGAGGAGTAGTCATGGATGATGCCTTAGTCACTTTGCTCCTGGCTGAGACACGTAACAACATCTGCAATTTCAAGCAGGAGAGGTTTGTTTTGGTGCGCCCTTCAGCCCATGGTCAGCAGTTCCAGAAAGAAACAGCATAGCAGAGGGACCTGAGAGGAAAACTGCTCACATCATGACAGCCAGGAAAGAGAGAGCTAAGGGAGGAGCCAGGAAGGGAGATAAACACTTCCAGGTCACTCCCATGGTGACCTTCCTGTTAGGAAGTCAGCTATAAATCCCATAATCCAGTCATCTTCCGAAAGCCTGGCCTAGGAGTGCGTGAGACTTGTGGGGGACATTTAGATATAAACCATAACAGACGACGCCAGTGTCTGGGGACTGAGCATCTGAAGGGATGGTGGTGCTGTTTACTGAGATGAAGGACAGATTTGGGGACAAGACAGGGCCCTATTTGAGCTTGAAATTCCAGTTAGACAAATGAGGAGAAGTTTTGGAGTTGTGTAGGAGTTGGAAGAACCAGTCTGGAGTTCAGGGTGTTGCAGGTCAAGATAAGAATTTGGGTTTGTTTGTTTGTGTTGAGACAGGGCCTAGGTATGTATGTAGCTCAGGCTGGCCTCGAACTCACAACAATCCTCCTGCCTCAGCCTCCTGACTGCTAGAATGTAGGGAAGCCCCATTACCCCCGGCTTAAGAATTTGGGTTTTAAGGTGTTTGCTTCTCTGTAGGCTCACAGGCTGCATCAAGTCCTAGTTCTCAGGTTAACTTGATATAGAAGAAAAACCAAAGCTATATAATAATATTTACTGAGCCCTTGCTATTTGCCAGGGGTCATGCTAAGGACCTTACTAGCATTGTTTTCTTCATTCTTACAACCACTAATGGAGTTGGGACTATCATTCCTGATTTTCATATGAGGAAGGCTGGTCCTCAGAGAGGTTGAGTAACTTCCTAGGTTGCACAGGGGAAGCTACTGATCTAGGGCTGGAAGCCATGTTAGGCTTGTTGCCAAACCCATATGCTCCTCTGCCCTGCTGCCCCAGCTCCCAGAGCCAGCTCCAGTCACCTGGGCCCAAGAGCATGGGACCTAGAGAGGGGTGGGCTTACCCCCCGCCTCTGGAAGTTTTCCGCAGGGGACCCCTTTCGGCAGGCCTCTTCTTGGGTGGGATATGAGGGGTTGCTGGCCTAATACGTGAAAAACCCTGGGTTCAATCCCCAGTACCACAGAAGAAACCTCATTCGGAGGCTTTACCTACTGACCTCAATGGACAACCATAGAGGAATGCTACCCTGGAAGCTTAACGTACACGGAAGAAACGCTCACACATGCCCTTCCCACTCAATGCCTAGTCAGCTATGGCATAAGGAGTTCAGTGTGCTGGTTTTAGAGTTGAAAGACCAGTTCCAAAGCTTGGCTCACTGCTTCCTTATTGTGTGACTTTGGAAAAGTTACTTAACCTCCCTGGGCCTCTTTATGACATGAGGTGACAGCCAGGCATGGTGGTTCATTACTATAATCCCAGCACTCTGGGAGGCTGAAGCAGGAGAATTCAAGTTTGAGCCCAGCACGGGCAACTTAGTGAGACCTTGTCTCAAAATAAAAAAGGGCCGGGGATGTAGCTCAGTGTAAAGGCCCTGGGTTCAATCTCTACTAGGCAATATATCTATAAATCAATATCACCTGGGATTTAGCTCAGTGGTGCTGCTGCCTGCCTCACAAGCACAAGGTCCCGAGTTCAATCCCTGGTACCAAAAAAAAAGTCAGACTTATATAAATCAATATCAAATATGATTGTGAAAATCAAATGAGGCAATCTGTGTTTGTCACTTAGAACAGAGGCTGATCCACAGAAAATGATCACTAAGTATTATCTCCACAAAAAATTTGATTTTTTTCCGCTCCTGCCCTTTCAGTATTCAGAGCTGAAGCCCTCTTTGCTACGTGTCACGTATTACTGCACACGTGTGGTGGTTACTGAACTGCCAGTTTCTCTGTAGGAAAGTTTTCATGTATGCCTGTACTTTATAAATTTTAGGCAGTCTTTACCTCAGCTTTCCTGCTTTTTGTTCAGCTATTTGAGTACTCATGTCTCCTTTATCTGAAGGGAAGATCGGAGCAGGAGGAAGTGCAACCCTCCACTTCCGGTGCCTCCTCAGCCCGCCCCACAAGTGACCCTCTCATAAACCCCCCGGTTTTCTTCCTTTACACTTTAAATGGGAGTTGACGCCCAAGCCATACATTTAATCCTTCCAGCTCAGTCGGTTGATGCTGAACGCTCCCAGCTTTGCTTTCTTTCTTTCTTTAACGAACAGCATTATTGGGAAAACAATGCATATACTGTATAACTCATCTATTTGAAGTGTACAATTCACTGGTTTTCCGTGTGGTCACAGACTTGTACAGCCATGAGTATGGTCCAGTTTAGGACATTTCCGTCACCCTAAAGAGAAACCCCAAACCTATTAGCAGTCGCTTCTCATTTCCCCTATGTTCCCCACCAATCCACCTTTTTCTCTGTGGATTTGCCTATTTTGGGCTTTTCAAAGAAGTGGAACACAGGAAGGCGCCTCTCACAAGACACTTCCATTTAGCGTATGTCCCTTTCACAGTTCGTTCATGTTGCAGCGTGTACTTTGCTTCCTTCCTTTTTATCGCCGGATAATACTCCATTGTTGGTCTGCACCACTGATGCATCTGATGGCATCTGAGTTGTTTCCACTCTTTGCTCTGTTAGAGATGATGAGGCTGCGAACATTTCTGTATCTGTTTTTGTGTAGACAAATGTCTCTGATTTGTCTAAGTGCTGGCTCCTATGTCAATTCTGTTTTGCTTTGTGGGAATTTCCCAAAGTTTCAGTTTTTCAAAGCAGCTTTACCATTATACCTTGTGGCCCGCTCACAGTGTGCGAGGGTCCAGTTTTGCCACATCCTCTCCACCGTTTGTTGCTGTCTCTCTGATGGCAGCTGTCCTGCTGGGTGTGACGTGGCATCTTATTTTGGGCTGTCCTGATGCCTAGATGCCTGATGTGTCTCTTCGCATGCACTTATCAGTCTTTTATTTATCCCCTCTATTCAGACCCTTTGCCTATTTTTTTTTTTTTTTGGTACCGGGGATCAAACTCAGGTCCTTGCGCTTGCACAGCAGGCAGCAAAACCACTGAGCTAAATCCCCGGCCCCTTTTTTGCCTGTTTTTCGCATGTGGGTTTCCAGTTTTCCCAGCAACATTTGTTGAAAAGGCTACTCTCGCCCTATTGAACTGTCTTGAGATGTGATGATTCACTTCTGGATTCTATATATCTATCCTTATGTCTGCAGTAGCTTTCTTTGCACCTGGCTTTACCTAGACTATGAGCTATATCTTCTTTTATACTGTAAAATTGCATTTTAGAACACTTTGTCTAAACATTTTAAAAAAAATTTCTCCTAAGTTCCTCTCTAAGGCATTAAAGCCTTTGGTACTTCAATGAGAACTTCAGTGAGCAACTTTCACGGAATTCCAGATGTGCCAGAGCATATTTCCCTCACAGATGGTCATCGTTTATTTAGCGTCTGTGCTCTGTTAAATCTGGTGGTCACGAGGACCCCAGAGGGCTTCCTGCTGCGGCTGTAGTTAGACCCCATTACCCCACTGTTGGGACCGCCAGAGGCACGCACCAGACTGCACTTCCATCTGCTGAACTGACTGTTTTGTTCTTGCACTGCCCGCATTCTTTTCACTTAGGCAAGTGTTGTGTTTTCAGAAGGGATCTGTGTTTCTCAAAAGAACATCTATTTTACCATTTAGTTGTGTGGGATATGTGTTCAAATGCTTATTTTTCTTGTTGCTATTTTTTAAAAAAATCTGGGACACATTGTTTCTCTAGATATAAAGTGTATTTTCATATAACATACCTTCAGCTTCCAATTGCTTTTAGGATCTTTTTTTTTTTGAGACAGCATCTTACTATGTAGTCCAGGCTGGCCTTGAACTCACTGTGTAGCCCAGGCTGGCCTCAAACTTTGCAGCAATCCTCCTGCCTCAGCCTCCCAAGCGGCTTTTACAATCTTAATTGTGGCTCTGCAATTCTATTCCACAGGACTCTTTCCTTCTGAGTGCTGGGAACAGTGGCTTCCTTCTAACCCTCCCAGAAGTAGCCTGATTTGAGTATTGTACTGTTTCCTCTTGGAGCCTGAAAGATCCAGTCATGCACAGGGAAATTCTTAGTTTGATTTTTTTTTTTTTTTTTTTTTTGGTACCAGGGATCAAACTCAAGACCTTGTGCTTGTGGGGCAGGCATGGCGCCACTGAGCTAAATCCCCAGCCCTGGGAAATTCTTAGTTTGTTAGAAAGAGGAATAGAAACTAACATTTCTTGAACAGTTTCTTCCAGATACTCTTTGAGATACTTCCACGTGTTTCCCTTAATTATCCCAACAGTCCCACAAATTACAGACACACAGGAGAAGCGCTTGGGTTTCAGAGAGGTTGTGTAACCTCCTTAAGGTCACTCAGCACCTGAGTTGCAAATTATGAGCCTCTGATCTGGTTTCTGTACTTTTTCTCACCTACCACACTGGAAGGAAATGCATCTGATTTTCCTGACTGATATCGTTATCAGAAGGGGAAATATCCTTTCGTGATTTCCAGCTAATGGAAGAACAATGTCTACATTCCTTATCCTGCTGCTATTGGTTTCTCACTCACTCATTCATTCAACTAATATTTATTGAGCACCTGCTATGCGCCCCGAGCACACTCAATTCCTTCTTTGAGACCAGGAAAGTGGCTGGGAAGCCACTAGAAGCCAGAGGAATGGGTCATCAGCCCTGAAAACAGAGCTGCAATTTCCTGATGGTCAATATGGAGAAGCTGGGCACACGCCAGTAATTCCCCTGCAGTTTTGGAGGCTGAGGCAGGAGGATCACAGGTTTGAGCCCCATCTGGGCAATTTAGCAACTTCGCAAGACCATGTCTCCAAATAAATAAAGAAAAGAAAGAAAGAAAGAAAGAAAGAAAGAAAGAAAGAAAGAAAGAAAAAGAGCCGAGGACGTAGCTCAGTGCAAAGGCCCTGGGTTTAGTCGCCAGTCCAAGGGGGCTGGGGAGGGGCAGGTGCACCGAGAAACTTCCAAGACGTCGGGGAGGATCAGGACAGACCTGGCTGCTTGCGTTCAGCTCGTGCGATTCTTAAACTGTCTGTCTGCCATATGGATTGAATCAGGATTTTCCAGGGCATCAGATTTCTAACTTGGATTATTCTAATGCTCTTGTTTTGCGACCTCTCTATTTCTCTTTTGTGAACAGGATCTTCGACAGGAAGACAGAGACGCACTGGCTCGCTTTGTCTTGTTTGTCTTTGGAAGACTTCAGGTGATGCTGCGCCTCTTCTGGAATAACCATTGGCTGTAAAAGGAACGTAAATGTCAGCTCTGCTTTCCTCCTCCTCGTGAGAGCCTGAGGCCTGCTGGGCTCCACGCCTTCGCTTTTCACAGCCTTCTCCGCGAGTACGTGGAGAACCGCAGACTCCCTGGCCGCTGCCTTTCAGTCGGGGGCAGCGAGCTGTGTGATGCCTCGATGCCTTGTGGTGAAGCCCAAGGAGTAACTGGGAGCCCGGGACCGCAGCGCTCCTGCAAGGACGCTCCACGCCCTTGCTTCCAGCAGTGGGGTAGGGCCTCATCCTCAAACCAGGGCCCACACAGGGCCCATCTGCCACCCCATTTCCACACCATCAGCGCCGCCGCCGCCGCCGGGGCCTTCCCAGCCCTTCTCCGGCTCTGACGCCACGTGTCCTGTCTTTCCTCCTGCTGTTTATCCTTTCTCCCTCTGTGACCCTCCATGTCTTCCCTAAGCACCCTGAGCCTTGCCCAGCACCGGCCTGCGGCCTGCCCGTGGGCGGCTTACTCTGCTGTTGACCAATCAGGTTCCTGAGCACCAGACCTGAGTGAGTTCCGAACTCATCTCCAGCAGGAACTGGACTCCTATCCTACCCCTGAGTGGTTCCCCGGGTCTGATTAGACCCTGTGCTGGTTGAATTTATGGGCTCATTCTCTATGCCTCTGAACTTCATCTTTCTCTTTCACTTTTAAAAAAAATCTGTCTCATAGCCTCCTAGCCCCTGTTAAAAGGATTGTATGTATTAAGAACATTTGTTGTTATAAATTAAAAGTTTTCTGTGTGCATCTTGAGTTCTTCATAGGAAAACTGTTATTTAAAAAAAAACTAATTTAAAAATGAAATAAATATTGTTTTACTGAGCATGCAACCTCTGAGCATATGTCTTTTGTGAAGGGATGCCACATATCCCTGCTCATACGGGTTTGTAATTTTGTAGATACTGTGTCCCATTTGTCCTTCCAAAGGGAACTGTCCCTGTTTTTTAATGTGTCTCAGGCAAACTCCATTTATTTTGATCAGTTTAGGTTATGGCCAGCTGGCATAGAACAGATTCTGATATTTCCTTTTCATTTATTTAAAAAATTCTTTTGAATAGGTATTTATTCATTTGGTTCAAAAAATCAAAACAACATAAAACAGTTTAGAGTGAAAACTCTTGCACTTTTTTTTTTGTATCAGGAATCAAACTCAGGACCTTGCACTTGCGAGGCAGGCGGCAGAACCACTGAGCTAAATCCCTGGCCCTTTATTTTTTTGAGACAGGGTCTCCCTATGTAGTTCAAGCTAGCCTTAGACTACGTGGCCCAGGCTGGCTTCAAACTCAAAGCAATCCTCTTACCTCAGCCTCCCAAGTGCTGAGATTACAGGCATGTGTCACAGTGCCAGGCACTTGCTCTTATGTTTTACCCTGAATTCCAGTTAGTTTGTTTGTTACTCCTCCTTCCAGAGTTTCTTTGTACATACCAATGAAACATGTATTCTTATCTGAGAGCAATTGTTCCAGAATGCACTGTGAATACTCATAAAATAACACAGTGTTTGCATATAACCTATGCAAACCTTCCTGTACACTTTAAATCATCTCTACATTACTTATACAACCTAATGCAGCCAGGTATTTAGCTCAGTGGTGCGCTGCCCACCTTGCAAGCGCAAGGTCCCAATTCAATCTCTGGTACCAAAAGAAAAAAGAAAAAAAAACTAATGCAATGTAAGTAGGTTGTTATACTGAATTGTTTAGGGATAATGACCAAAAAAAGTCTGTACATATTAAGTACAGAAATAATTTTTCCCTGAACATTTTCAGTCCTAGGTTAGTTGAATCTGAGCATATAGACTCTTGGATATGAAGGGCTAACACACACACACACACACACACACACACACACACACACACACAATGTATGTATCATCTTTTGTGTTGCTGGTACCAAATACCCAACACCCACAACTCAAAGGAGGACAGGTTTATTTGGACTCACGGTTTCAGAGGGTTCAGTCCTTGGGAGAAATGACATGGTGGGACAGCCTGGTGGCGGACAGCTGCTCAATCCATGGCAGCCAGGAAGCAGAGGGAGAAGGAAGAGCCAGAGGGAGAGATGTACCCTCTGAAGGCCCCCAGTGACCCACCCCCTCCTACAGGGCCCGCCTCCCACCAGCACATTCTGCCATGAACTCATCAATGGATTACACTGATGAGTGTAATGTCCTACAAACACAGAAGTAGCATATAATATACACTGGGGTACCTCAATTTTTTTTTTTTGAGACAAGGTCTTGTTATGTAGTTCAGGCTGTCCTTGAACTCACAGCAGTCCTCTTGCCTCAGCCTCCTGAGCGCTGGGATTACAGGCGTGCTCCTGGCTCTAATTTTTGCTTAGCATGGTGACCAGGCACTGTTCTAGGTGTTTTACAAATGTTAATTCATTTGCTTTTCATAATAATGTGGTAGGTATTATTATTATTATTATTATTATTATTATTATTATTATTATTATTATTATTATTATTATTATTGGCTCCACCTTACCATTAAGGACATGGAGGCAGCAGTTAGTAGAGAGATTAACTTGCTGCAGGGCTCTAGCTGGTAAGTCAGGTAGCTGGGATTCCGAGCCCTGAGCACAGGTCTCAGCTCCGCGCTGTCCTGACTGTAGCAGCGCGCACATGGCCTGCAGGCCACCTCATCCCGTGCTATTCGGAACTTGGGACCTGCCTTCAGCCCCCTTGATGGACATACGTTATTTCTAGCCATTTGCCGTCATAAACCTTGGTTAAACACAAAAGCATGTGTGTGCTGGGTGTGTGCTGGTGTATTGGTTGAGTTTCTAGTGCTGAGATTGCTGGGTCAAGGGTCAGTGCATTTGTAACTTTGCCACATCCGGCCTTCGGCCTCTGTGGGGCTGCACCACTTAGAGCCAGCTCTGCCTCTTCACGGATGACATCATTACATTTTTGAAGTTTTCCCAAATTAAGGGGTAAAACCTGATATCTTAGAACAACTTCAGTCTCTCTCTCTTTCTCTTTTGGTGCTGAGGATTGACCCTGGACCTTCACAATGAGCTACATCCTTGGCCCTTGTTTTATTTTGTCTTTCAAAACAGGGTCTTGCTAAGTCACTCAGTTGCCTAGGCTGGGCTCAAACTTTCAATCCCCCTGTCTCAGCTTCCCAAAGTGCCAGGGTGACAGGCGTGCACCTTCATGCCCAGCTCAACTTGTACATTGTAAAAGCTGAGCACCTTTCTCTAGCTCAGAGGCTGTCTGCCCTTTCCTTTCATGCATAGCGTCTGCTCCTGTCCTTTGCTTTTCTCTTTTGAGCGGGTGGCCTAGGCCCACCCTGATCCCCAGGAGTCCCTGAGCAGGCCTGGTCCACTGACCGGACAAGCGGGGACCCCGCTGGGCCCTCTGCACTTGCCCCTCTCCCCCAGCCTCAGAAGGGACAGCAGGGCTGCCCTGTCTCCTAGACCCGGGCCCCACAATGAGCCGGCATCTGACCCGGCTGAGGTCCCACTCCAGCTCATGGGAGGGGAGCAGCGGTGGCGCGGAGCCCCTGGAGTCCTGGGCCTCGCGCCCGCCCCAGTCTGAAGCGTGGTTTCCAGGGGACCCGGTGGGGAGCTGGCAGGGGACAGGCCTCGAAGGTGGACACAGTCTGTTGGCAGAGATGAAGGAACACTATTTCCCACTAAAAATAGTCCTTAATGCATTTCAATACGGCTGAACCTTCGCCCGCCCCCGGGTTTTCCTCTCTCCAGGAGGCCACGCTGGCCCGGGACCTCAGCACAGCCAGGCCACCTGTGGGCACCCGGGTCCTAGGCAAATGTGAAACTCTAGCCAGGCTCTTGGGCTGCCAGGGCGACTCTGTGGGTAGAGGGGGAGAAAAGCTGACTGGAAAATAAAAAAAGTGACTCACAAACTCTTCTTATTCAAGGAAGTGCCTTCCTTCAGTTCCCATGACTCTGCTGGGTTTTACCTTTTCCGTGGTGAGGAAGTGAGAGGAGGTAGACAACCAGCTGAGGCGGCCGAAAGGCCTCGCTGTAAGACCAAGGTTGGGATTCTGAGTTATTGGCTGGAGAGTGCACTGTTGTGTGTATCTAGAACCTTCTTTCAGGGAACTATGTTTAATTTTTATTGTTACAAAAGTACCAAGTGCTTATGGTCAAAAATTAGGAAATGACGGAGAAATGTAAGAAAAATACAGAAACCCCAAAATACAGCCAAATCCACCCAGAGATGACCACAGGGCCATCTCCTTTCCACTGCCTTTCCTGGGTGCTGTTCCTCCCTCAGGAACACGGAGCCATGCAGCGCCTGTAACTGAATGTAACCTCTCCTGTGTTTCACTGGCAAAGCTGGGAAGCCGCAGAGCTGGGTGACATCTTCAAGGTCACAAGGTTCCAAAGGCCAGGGCTCCACGAGGGCTCTGCTGCTATGTTTTGTCCCATTGAGCATGTCGCGGACTGTAACATGGCGACAGCTCGCTGTCACCTGTCACCTCGGGAATTCCCTAGTATTCCAAATGAGGAAATGCAAGCCCCTTCCCTTGTGCTGGGGGAGAGGGTAGGGAAGGAGAAGTGAAGATCAAGAAAGTTCAGTCAGCACTGCGGGGAGCACAGATGGGCAGGCCTTCTGGGTTTTTAGAGGCCACCACGTGTTGCTCAGGGAAAGGGGAAGTTGAGCCTGGCAGGTGATGGCGTTGGATTGGCAGGGTTGGGGGAAGAACATCTGACCCCAGGAACTTAACCCTACCTACAAGGTTGAGTGAGTGCCCTTTCAGATGCTTTGAGAAAAGTACCCTGGTACCAAAAAAAAAAAAAAAAGGGAACAATTTGATCCGATTTTGAGATATCTATCATCCTGTCTGTTGACTAAAGACCTAAGGATGGAAATCTAACACAACTGTAAGAAACCCTCCTCAAACAGTGCTCGCTAGTCTCCCTGGGTCCCTGGAAGATCAAATTTCCCTAAGACCCAACTTGCCAAGCTGGGAGGCTCACTAAACATTTGTTGAATGGATGACTGAGTGACCAGGGGTCTTCAGTGAAGGCACCAGAACGTCCAACCAAGACAGGAGCCTTTCAATGGAATGCTTCTGAGAGGGCCACCAGGTCCCCTGTGTCCTTCTCGTGATGGGAATTTCCTCTTCGTGGCTTAGTGGGCAGCACAGCCCCCAATGAGGGTCACTGTGGCCTGTGATCCCCTGCTCGAAGCCTTGTTCTTGTCCCCAGCAGCAGATCCTGGAGTACTAAGAACTGAAGGAAAGAGACAGATGAGAGAGGGAAATCCAACATGCATTCTCTCTAGTTCCACAACTCCTATTTAGGTACAGAGATCGAGTGCTCGCTTTGGCAGCACATATACTAAAATTGGTACAGGGATCGAACTCAGGACCTTGCGTTTTCGAGGCTGGTGTGGCGACACTGAGCTAAATCCCTGGGCCACAACTCCTGTTTATTGACTCCTTGGAAGATATTCAGACAACACACTTCTGACCCTCAGTAAACACCTCCCAGTCTTAGAAGACAGGCAGCACCAAATGACTCCTTTTCCTGCCAGCAACATCCCAAGTAAGCAAACTGCTGACACTAGATGAAGGCTTGGCTTTTCAGACAGCTGGGGCGATGTCAGCCCCCAGTTTCCCAGTTATAGAAACTCAGTTTTCATCCCTGAGCACCACATTCCCTCCTCCACCTCCAGCTTCCGGTCTGATAGTCAGGGCCTATTGGCC